AAAATTGTTGAAGTCATAGTCAAACACTTTTCGTCGTTTACAATGAACACCAAAGTAGTATAGCGAGTGACGAAAATAGAATACTGTTACTGTATGTAAACGATGGAACAGCACAAAACATTTTTCATTGTCATTTCATGCTGGTATTTCAAGTATTACTGCAGGAAAATGGTAGGAAAAAAGTACACAATTTTATGACAATTATACACTCGGTAGTCTGTATCAGCTGATATGATCGCCATGTTGTCTTTGTGCAAACTTTGCAGTATACTGCTTAAAAATGTGGGAACAAACACATTTGAGAGGTCCTACTATGCAGAAAAACTAAATACCTAGTGAGAAAGAGCAGAAGAATACCTGCCCATTAATATTTATGTGAAACATACCCGTTTATAAGGACTTGGTGAATTTTTCCCAGCACATTTCAGGCTCATCAGAGCCTCCGCTGAACTACCTTTGAACAAGCAAAGAAAAATAATTATACATTGAAACCTTTAACCTTTAGCAGTCTTATGTAAATACCGTACTTCCCCAAGTATAAGCCCAAGTAGTCATTGATTTCAACGACACTTTTTACAATGAAGAAACAAACATAAAAATACACACATTTTATTACAATACGGTTTACATACCGTCTGAATTTAGGTGCAAAATGGGTAGGGTCTGTGGGGAAACAGTCAAAGACAAGATCTTTATCATTATCTTCGTTGTGGAATGTTTTCAATCGTACGCAAACTCTTGATACAAAGCAATTTCCGCCATGCTGTTTCATCATAATTTGACCTGAACAACTATTTTTCACCTAACAGGTCACGTCTTTCGTTAACCAATCAAAATTCTTTGTCGTACAGACAGAGGGGTAGGCTTATACTCGAGGAAGGGCTTATGCTCGGGGAAGTATGGTAATCAATGCAGCAACCTTACATCAAAACGCAGTTTTACTAAAACCGGCCATTCAGAACCAGCCCACAAACCTGTGCGTGATCGCGTTAGGAAAAGCTGTATTTCACACGCTCCAAGGAGCTGGTGCCACCAATCAACATTGCTGTATCATTATTATTCATAAAATTGATGTTGTTTCTATCATGAGTTCTGATTGGGAGATGCAAATGAGCCAAAGTAAATCTTTGATCGTTTGACATACGACATACAGTGAATCAGGGTGAATTCTGCCAAAGGTTAATGTTGAGGCCGTGGCTGAATAAATGGTCCTTGGCTGGCGAAGATGTGCAGCAACATACAAATTAGTGTATTTTTGTTCTAATCCAGACATTAAAATGATCAATCATGAGTACTGATCAAACTCTTTCACTTTTTTCAGACGGTGGATGTAGTGTATGAAAAAACAGTCACAGTGATTTTTGTTAAATTTACACATTCTAAAAACTGAATGAAACACACTTTGGTGAAAACTCAAAAACTGACATTTGAAAAGAAAAACTCTGGTTTTTGCATATTTTATTCTTCACTTACATCTTACTGGCCCATGCCACTTCAAAATATGTGATTAGTACCTTAATCTTTCCACCACCAGACTTTCTCGCCCAAATTTTTCTCTATTTTTTTCTTCAATATATCTGGATAATTTTGGAGCCAACAAACAAAATTTGAGCCATGATTTAAAAAAATGTTCTATAAATCTCTAAATTCTCCAATGGCTCTTGGATAGTAATGTTTCCAAACAACCCAATTAACTGGTAGGTACTGATTCAAAATAACTCATGGGTATTAAACACTGTTAAGAAAATTTATGTTGAAATCGTTGTTCTGAATATCAAAATGTTCAACTCGTAATCTAAGATGCTGATGAGTACCGAAAATCATAGATTTTGTTTAAATCTATTTATATAAATCGATTCACCGATTTTTGAAAAGCCACTAAGGATCATTGAATTGGATTAACATTCATCTGCTATATAAAACAAAGCAGGATAATCAGCATATAAAACTATGTAACTTGGCAACAGATACACAGAGTATGATAGTATGATCTGTCATATAATTTGTCATCCAATCAAGCTGGTGACCTTTTATTTCAAACTTTCGCAGTTTATCTAGCAGTAGGACATGGTTGACTGTAATCTTTGGAAAGGTCAATATAGATCACATTTGTCATTTTTCTGTTACCATATTGGAGAGAATATATTCACATACATCTAAAAATATTGTTTCAGAAGAGTGGAGTGATTTCAAACCTAATATGATACATATCACTATTTTGAATACGACACTGATTTTAACCACATCTCAAACGTCATACTGTACTAGTACCATACTGAAACTTAACCAAAACAGTTACTCAAAACACTACATGCATGCCTAATCTAACTTACAATATAATGAAAATTACAAATGGTATTCCTATGGCAACTCTGTCCTACACCAAATGTTAACACCCAAAATTATATTTATCAGATTTTAATAAACTTTCCTACAAGTGGATTTGCAAATTATTTACTGACAAATGTTCAGTACAGATTGGGCAAACAGTAACAACACCAATAATATATCGCTACTCAGTATATCAGTACTCAGTAACAAAGATTTGTTTCCATTGTCTGTAATATAATTACTAAAAAAACACCATAACAAATATTACGGCAAGTTTGTATTCCCGGCCTTTAGGCTTTATTGACATTTACTTTACAGAATGTCGTAGTATTACAATCACACGCGAAACTAACAAGCACGCAAAGCCGGTGAAACGTACATAATTTTCTACATACTACCATAGAGACAAGACGTATATAGGTCAACGCCCTGGGTCAGCGCGACCTCAGTAGTGTTTGTTTCGGGTTGAACTCGTATTTTAATCACAGTGTATGTGCTTTTGGAGAAATCATTTATTTTAGCTGAGCAAAATATCCAGATTGTGATTGTTAGAGCAACGTTCCGGCGAGGCTTGTACTCTAGTGACATTCGTATTGCTGCTTTCATAAACAACACAGTTTTTACACGTGGTGTTGCGTTGTTTTTCTGTGAAACAAACACAATAAATTCCAACTTACTTTCAAGGGAACCATCCGCCATCTTGGATCAGACGCGCCTCTTTTTAAAGAACCGCTATGCATTACGGGATCGAAAACCCTGCTTCGGAAATTCCGAATATTTACGAGAACGACCGATTAGGTCACGAAGCTGTAAACCTGATAATGACGTCATGCATAATTAGGACAACATGGCTGCCTGATGTACTTGTGTTGCTGTGTGGCTCCTCTCAATATGGATTTTCGACCTTTTCGACAATAGATTTTTTTATTCCAACTAACGATTGAAATGATGCAAAATGGACTTCAACCAGTTGATGTCATTTGCGGCCACTAATCAAAAACAAGCTGAAAAAAAGGTAACGTATTTCCGTCATTCAAAAAATATGTTCTCAAAATCTACAATCAAATCCACAGGCGCTCGAGAGTCGAATCAGCTGTTGCTGTCTGTGTCTTTTAAAATATATTTTGGTGTTACACCAATTGCTGGATGTCGGTCACCACTGTGTGCCCATCTCTATATTAGTGTGTTAGAATAGACCCATACTTTGTCATTTAAAAAAAAATATGCAGCAGTTATGGTGATTGGCCATTGCTGTTTGGTGTCTTCGGTGACAATAATGTACGTGTTGTAATTATAATGCAAAGTCAGCATAGTTTCATCATCAAGGAACATGTGACAGTGCTTAGTTAATTAAAATTCACAAAATTTAGTTTTTATTAATAATAATTGCAAATTTTCTTCTCTTGTAAAGCTTGTTCATATCAAAAGATACAGTACTATTGTGCCACCGCCTAAAAAGGATGTCAAGAAAGTGAACACTGGTGCAATAAAAGCAATTTTAGAGAAGAAATCAAATCCCATTGGTATGTATATTAGGTATGATTTATTATTGTTCACACATAAATCTGTGTTTGTGAAAGAAAAATACATTCTCTGTTCAACCTTTTCACCACCAGACTTTCTCACCCACATTTTTCTCCACTTCTCTACTTTTTTTCTTCAATATTTCTGGAAATGAACCCTGATTTTGGTGCTGACAGACAGAATTTGAGTCAATTTTCTGTTTTACTCAAAAATTTTCTGAAATGAAATGCAGACTATAAACGGGACTACTTTGTGAACTCAGATGAAAAGAGGGAAATGATTGTGAAAAGGTTAAATTGCATGTTAAATTGATCTTATTCTGGCTCTAAGCCAAAATAAATCCCAGCTAAAAATTAAGTGTGATACAGCATTGCTTTTCAAACTACAACTGTGTTCTGTAATGGGTGTAAGGTAATCCATAATCAAAATCCTGAATGTCTATTTGCTCTATATATAATCTAGCCCTGCATACAGTGCTGTGTGTACAGG